TTCACCTCGATTCTATGGTAGACCGAAACTTCACAAACCAAACATTCCCTTACGACCAATCGTTTCGCTTCCAGTAACACCAACATATAATCTATCTAAAGAACTTTTCGGGAAATTAAATTACCTAACAGAATCATGCGACCATTCCATCAATTCGTCAATCCAATTTTCAGAGGAAATTAAAAACATTCAAGTAGAAGACAATGAAAGAATGGTGTCCTTTGATGTCACAGCATTGTGTACATCAATTAGTCCAAAAGTAGCAACAGAAACTATGCATGCAACAATTACGCCATAGTGATGAAAACATAAAAACGCAATGTTCAACTTGGATAGAACTCATGAAATTATGCCTTACAACATACTTCCTGTTCAATACTCGAATATATGAACAAATAAAAGGAACACCAATGGGAGCATCGCCTATATCAGGATTAATAGCTGAAGCCGTTATGCGAAGATTAGAATTAATACCTATACCTATAATTAAACCGAAAATCTGGACAGGTACGTTACGTTGATGATACATTTGTAATAATTAAGAGAAATGATTTAGAATACACCCACAAATTAATAAACAACATATTTGAAGATATCAAGTCCACAAGAGAAGAAGAATTACATAAAAAAATCCCTCAAGGCGCTGTCTTCTCTCTTTTCTTTCTTCTTGCATGCCTTGCGCTACTCTGATCAAATGAACTTTGCCAAGTATGCGGACGACCTAACTGTTTGAATGTCTGTTAACTCCCAGCTAGACTGTACTAAAATCAACAGCTTTCTATCAGGAGTTAGCAAATGGTCTTCGTCTAATGGCCTTAAACTTAATCCTTCCAAATGTCAGACTGTTAATTTCAGTTTCCGATGTAAAACCAAGTTAAATGAAGCTGTGGGTTCCTATGACCGTTGCGAAATTGATGATAGTGACATAGAAGTCAAGTCTGAAGTTAAGTATCTGGAAATGATTCTTTCTCCTAACCTACCTAACCTGGTCTTCCCAGGTCTTAGCGATTTCTAAAAGTAAATATCGTCTGACTTTTTACATTAAGAAGTTAAGGCACTCAGGCATAACCCAACCTCTCCTCTTACAGTTTGTCAACTCGTGCATCTTGCCTATTCTTCTTTACTGTTCACCGCTGCTTATTCTTTCCTCGATTGCTTAAGTAAATCTATGTCATACTTCGTAGAACTGTGAAGACTGTCAGTCAGTCAGTAGAGCGAGTGGTATCCCATTGGGCCATATCGTTGACATTGTAATTGATAGGCACCTGATGTCATGCAACAAATTCGCTAAGGGAATTTTGTCAGACTGTAAGCATCCACCGTAGCTGCAACCTTGTATCTCCTCAGGTAAAAGAAGAAGTCTTTTCAGAAGACTTTATGCACGTACGTCTAAGTACAAAAATTCCACTATAACATATTTGACGGCACGTTTTTTATGTGATGAAAATGGTGTTAGGCACAAACTAACTAACTAACCTTCTTTGCACTACTAAATAAACCATTTTCTCCACCCTTACAGCATCAACCTTTATTGTTACTGTACTTCTCATATTCATAATCCTCTCAATTTTTTATTTGTTTATTTTTTCGTAAGTGTGAACATCATTTGAACTGTGTTATAACTGTTAATTTTGTATTTCTTCTCACTGTACCGTATTAACAGAACATTAGATTCAATAATCTATAATAACATGCTAAAATTTCCAAACTGAACTGACAAAACTGTTTGAAACAAGCTCGCTGTTATTAATATTATTCTTATTATATTTAATATTCTCATTTTGTACTTTGAATATTTTTGACTTTATATCGTAAACGTGATCAAATTCCTCTGGTTAATTTTGTTTTAATTTTATTTATATTTTGAGGAGTAAATCAGATGCAAGGTGTTGTGACAAATGCTGAGAATTCCATTCTGTATTATACGTACTGTGTTTGGAATAAAGTGGATTATTATTATTATTATTATTAACATTAATGCTGTTTTAAATCACACTGGACCAATCGATCAGTAGTTTCGATAGGGGATTACAGTTGACTAAACACCATCATTAAGGTAGAGACAGAGGGACATATAATATGCATCAGTGTGACACTAAACTGAACTGAATATCAGTTAAATCAATGGAAGTAGCACACAAAGGCCTGGAGGATAGCAGTATTCGCTGGCTGGACCTGTTTCTATTGCACACACACACACAGCTTTGGCAAAGAAATATACCAATGTAAAATTGTCTTTCTAGAAGAAGAGTGGACCGTTGGGCAGGACAAAAAGAAATTTGCATAAGAAAAGTACTGCGACCAGTCAATATACACACACACACACACATTTTCACAGGTTTGTTCCTATTCGATATAGAAAACATTTGATAAATAAATACCCACAGCTATAGGGTCCCAGCAATTTGTTAAGAAATCGAATTCAAGGTTGTATATGACACGCCATTTGGAAACAGCCATCCTGAAAAATTCATCACCGAAAATACACTGCCAGGCGAGTAGAAAGAATTCCTCTGTATCTGTGAACAGCAAGTCTCTGTCTCTCTCTCTCTCTCAAGGCATACGCCTACAATCGATAGGTGACAGATACACCAATAACGGAAAAGTTAATAAAATCGATTGAAAGCAGGTTTAATGCTGATCAGAAGCAGCTTATGTTTTCGACACGACCGGTTGTCATTCCGAATTTGAAAAACGATGTATCTAGGCTAGCTAACCATCTCTAATTTTATCTGTCAATTCAACTGCTCCACTAATGCAAGCTTCACTGGACTTCGCTCAATGAAGTGAATTTTTCGTGCTCAGGAACACCTATCAGTGTGCTATTGATCAAACCATTAACAGTTATACTACATTAATTATATCATATCACCTAAACAGGTGACGAAGCTGGCTAGAATTGAATAGTATTTGTCTGTCATCTGTCGAGTATTGAATAAATGCTCAAAGACCTGTAAATATCGAAGACTTCAAACAGCAGAGGCTAAGGAAACAGATGCAAACAGCCATTATTCCCATATTAGTTTGTTTATTAGATGTATCACACATTGAAGCAGTATTAGTGTTTACTGGATGAGAAAGTTTCGAAAAAAAATTTATTTATTCACTGTTCATAGTCATATCACCAATTATAACAACACGACTTCGAAACTCCCAGTCATTCAATCAATAGTACAGTTTCATCACTGTGTGATGCATCCAATAAGCAAACTAATATGGAATTACTTACTACCAACACAGTGCCCAAGTTTTACACATATATTAAGCCATTATTTCCATCCCCCCCCCCGGACTGGCTGTCGAACCTGTAGTGTACATTGTACCTTCGAACTTTTGTTTGAACGAACTCACCTGACCTTTAACCCCACTTCCTCTTTGGATTCGTGAATCGCCTGTACGGTTTCGCTCCCTCGCTGTGCTTTCACCCAGCACACTCTCCGAGCTTACCACCGTCTCAACTGCAGATAGATAAGTGTATACCCTCTTATTCTTTATCAAATCTCATATTGCTTTTGTGTAAATATAACTCTGTTCCAGTCAAGTCTTTTTACCTTGATTCAGTTCGTTGTATTTGCGCATTAGGCAGAGTACAATTGAGGTCATAAAGCGGTGAAGAAGTTTTTTGTAAGAGTGGCTAAATTAAGTCTAAGTTAACCCAAGTCTAACTCTTACAAACCCATATATTCCTAAGTTCTCTGTTACTTCCCTTCACTTATCTCATTCAATCAGTTTAGTGTTATACTGATGCATGTCATCTGTCTCTATCTCTCTCTCTTTTTGCCCTACCGGTGATGCTTCAGTGAACCTATCGACACTACTGATCGGTATATATATATATATATATATATATATATATATATAGTGTTCGGTGTAGACTGGATGAACCAGGCAGGATTCAGTAATCAGTCTCTCTCTCCACCTACATAGATTACGTTTTAGAATTTTAACCCTCTCCCATCATGCTATTGTGTGTTTGTGTGTTAATGCATGCAGTGCAATGTAGTGCTGAGCTTTTTCCTAAATTACTCATCTTCTCCGGTGGGGTCAACCATTCTTCCCTTAGCTAAATTCTTATGTTTTGAGAGGCAATCTGACTACCCTCGATCTACTAGTTTGACCAGTGTAAGTAGTTGACCTAACTCACAGTCATTGCAAGGTATTTTGTAAATTATATTATTTTGTCTAATTGGGTCAACCGTCAGGGTCCTTTAACCTACAGAGCTTGTCCGACCTGAGTGAGTCTGTAGGTTTGAGAGGTAATATAAGTAGGTGGAAAGAAAGAGAGAGAGAGAGGTTGATTACTGAATCCTGACTGGTTCATCGAGTCTACACCTAACACAACACATGCAACAGAAATGACTCAATGCAAATACCAGAAAAATATGGAAAGTACTGCTGCCAATCAAGTCAAGAGATGAAAAATAATGGAATTATATACACGAAGTTAGAAAGTTGTGTGAGTACATTGACATGGTTGTGAGCAATAATATGTGCTTGAAACGTGGTCATCTATAAATATTACTGTGTAACACTGTGTGACAGTTTATCGAAATAAAGTCTTATCTAGAATGGAGTTATACTCTACCACAGTCCCCAAGTTATATATATATATATATATACTTATCCTGCTTGCTGATTTTCCATTGGTTTCTATCCAACCGATGTCGCGTCAGCTCAGAATAAAATCCAAAAGACTTAACACACCATCAATCGCAAAGTTATAAAATAAATTATTCAAAGATATTAATCATCATCATCATAATAATAATAATAAAAACAATAATCTCAGTACTACAAGTGACAACCATTCATTCTTTTGAATACAAATCAATGAATATGTATTGATGAAAGCATAAATAATCACAGTTAAACAAAAAAACAAACAAAATAAATAAAAAAATAAAACAAAGCTGTGAACAGAAAAAAAAACTAGATAAAAACAATTCATGAGATGTAGTCAGTTTGTTTGGGAAAATTTAAAAAAAAAAAACAGAAGAGGGAAGCAGTCACAGCTTGAAAAGTAGCAACAATAGTAATATGATATTAATTGATGATACAGCATTCGGTTTTCTCATATGCTCAAGGGATACACTGTTGCTACTGCCCATGATGATGATGATGAAATGATAATCGTTAAACACGATAAAAATTTCAAAATAGGAGGAAATAAAGGTGAGTAAAAACCCAGGAGTCGAACAAGGGAATGAAGTTGGCTTACACAGATGGATAACAGACAGAAAGACAGACAGATAATTCATTCGTTAGCTTAGCAGAATATTGTAATTGTTGCAATAACTTGTAAGTGTGTTGTAATCCATTAATGTTATAGATCTTGCCGCCTTGCCATCACCTGTCTATCTATCTACATAGAACTTGATTTGGCATTTTCATTCTGACTGAAAACATTCCCCAGATACCAGAAGAACTAGAAGTAAAAGGGGAAAAAATAAAAAAAAATTTCAAAGGAGATTTATCAGAGTTAGTAAAAACGACAATATTATTATATTATTATTGTTTCCTTTGATTCCTAGAGGAATATAGGGTTTCAGCGGCGCGTCTCCATTGCGTTCGCTTCTCTGCTAGAGTTTTCACCTGCCTCCAAGTCTGCCCACATGCTTTCATCTCCTCTTCACATGACCTCCTCCAAGTCACCCTCACACTGACGAACAACTCGCCTCTTCCCCTTCGAGTTCCACTCGAACAATGGCTTGTCTAGTGATGTCACTCAATTGATGGTTTCCTCACAGTATGGCCAGCCAATCCATCTCCATTTCTTCCTGCTTATTTGTTGCACAATCGGTTCTTGCTGTGTTGGTTCGCTCATTGCCAGAGATCCCACCCTGTTGCTGATCTTTTCTGGCCGGCCGGCCATCTGATCTTCAGTGGTATTGAGCGAAGACAGCTAGCTGTTGATGAAGGTCTGTAGTTTGTTTCAGGTGCTCTTTATGACGCGCAGTGCAAGTCTCTGATCCATCCGTATAGTGAGTAGCACTGACTGACTTCACATTGGAGTTGAAAATCCGGATCTTATTTTCACATTTTCATGCTGAGTAGTTCTGAGTACCGTTGACCTTCACACAGACTTGAGAGTAGTGAAAGCTTGCCTTGCTTTCCCGAAACCTTGCTTTGATATCCTCGTCAGTTCCACCCAGCTGTAGTTGAAACGATGCTTCCCAGGTAGGTAAGTGAAGGAGGTTGTTTCTTTCAGGTTCCTCCCATTTATGCTGACTGATTGTTGTCTGTTGTTGTTAGTGGTGTGTCCCATCACCTCTGTTTTCTCTATGTTCACCTGAAGTCCTATCTTCTCTGGATGCTTATTCTGCCAACTTGATGCTTTTCGCTTGCATATTATAATTATAATAGTAATAATTTGGGACTCATTGGCAGTACGGCAGAGTAAATCGCCCAGCAACAAAAAACAAAACAAAACTAGGAATGGACTGTTGAAATAATTTCAAAATTAATCCCATATCACACTAGCGCACGCGCGCACACACACACACATACGTAGGCAGACGGCAGGGAGAAACACGTAAAACAGTAGCGAAGGCAATTAAATAAAATGTATGTTAACCATCTCTCAATCGATGTGGTTTCACAAGCCTTCCTTCCCTGCCTAACTAACACTCGACGCCTGATGTCAATATTACTCACCACCTGACACAGGAGCTCTACAATATGTGTAGGTATACTACTACAACAACTACTACTGCAGATGAAAATGACACAAAAAATGTGGAAAATGATAGCTCGACTTCTTACTGGAAGACAACCTGATAGCTATGATAGAGAAGATTTGCGGCTCAGGTGGATGATTTTGGTGTGGTTGTGTTCTCTGAGCTGGCTGGATAGTTAATTTATGAAGCGTTCATCACCCTACTAGGTGACATCTTCCTTGAGCGCATACTTCAATTTGTTGAAGTGAGCTTTCAGATTTCTCCATGAGTGAGTTTATTAATCATCTCTCCTGGTCGGTGACCTCGGATGTGATTAGTTGTTTTTGTGTGTGTTTTCACACCTTATAGACTACTTGTATTGGAACTGATTGTTTCTTTGACTTGAGCTTTGATCCTCTGTGTGTGAGGTTCCCTTATTATCCGTCGGTAGATTTTGTCTATCTCGATGTGTCTATTGATTGGTGATTCGCTGGAATACCAGACAGGCTTCTAAAAATTCTCTAGTATTCTCGGTGTTGTTTCCTCTGTCTAATACCTCAATCGGACAAAAACTCACAAAGGAGACCATGCAACAATTACTCATCATCGACGAACACCTTCCACAACAATCAAAAATGCAACACACAAGCTGGATGGAATGCATAAACCTATGCCTGACAACATACTTCCAATTCAACGGACAAATATATGAACAAGTCAAAGGAACACCCACGGGATCGCCAATATCAGGTTTGATTGCAGAAGCAGTGATGCAAAGGCTAGAAAACATAATCTTACCAAAGATCAAACCCAAGATTTCGATACGTTACGTAGACGACACATTTGTAATAATCAAAAGAAACGAGTTAGATAAAACTCACAACTTAATAAACAACGTCTTCAACGACATCAAATTCACAAGAGAAGAGGAATCCGAGAACAAAATCCCATTTTTGGACATCTTAGTCAAGCGAACAACCACGGGAGAATTAGAAACTCAAGTTTATAGGTAATCAACTCACACAGACCAAAACCTGAATTACAACAGCAACAGTCCAATAACACAAAGGGAATTGCATACAAACACTATTCAAGAGGGCCAGCCAGGACTCACTGCAGCACTCCCACCTCAAGGAAAATTGACGAAAGATAACTCATGGACGTCTTCCAAAAGAATGGATATCCAAAGAATTTCAACAAAAGACATATACCCCCAAGCCAACCTATCAAACCAAAGCCCCCCAAGGAAAGCACAAAGAAAATCGCCCTACCATATATAAAGGACATCTCACAAATCACTGCATGACTCTTCAAACCTTTCGGAATTGACGTCACACACAAACCAACAAAATCACTTCCCTCAGCTGGCTCTATGTCAACCAAAAGACTCAACAACGAAAGAAGATAAAAACAACATCATCTACAAAATAAATTGTAACAACTGCGAAAAACACTACATCGTCTTCGTATCCACGAAGATTAGCTGGCCGTCAAGAGAAATGATGTCCACTCCCTCATATCACTACATACAGACAACCACGGGCATCAATTCGACTGGGACAACGTTCAAATATTAGACAGAGGAAACAACACCGAGAATACTAGAGAATTTTTAGAAGCCTGTCTGGTATTCCAGCGAATCACCAATCAATAGACACATCGAGATAGACAAAATCTACCGACGGATAATAAGGGAACCTCACACACAGAGGATCAAAGCTCAAGTCAAAGAAACAATCAGTTCCAATACAAGTAGTCTATAAGGTGTGAAAACACACACAAAAACAACTAATCACATCCGAGGTCACCGACCAGGAGAGATGATTAATAAACTCACTCATGGAGAAATCTGAAAGCTCACTTCAACAAATTGAAGTATGCGCTCAAGGAAGATGTCACCTAGTAGGGTGATGAACGCTTCATAAATTAACTATCCAGCCAGCTCAGAGAACACAACCACACCAGAACCTGATAGTTTTGGAAACCTGCAGCCGAAATAATCTACAAGTGAGTTCATTGTGTGGTTGAATAATCTTGACTGAAGAAACTACTTTTATTCACACAATTGTCCTTACTTATTTTGATTACTTATACTACTAGTACTATTACTACTGCGGTGAGAGCTGGCTGCTAGCCAAAGTTGGTAGACAGTAATTGACGTCAATATTTATGTCCCCAATATTGGTGGTGAGAAAATGAGAACAAAGGCTTTGCGTAGGCGGGTACAGTTAGCATATGGATGATCTGACACAGCCACAAAGGTTAACTTTCTGTGAGAAACAACCAATCAAAAGACTGTATTTTCTACTAACAATAATCTACAATAATGTGCATTAAAATGAATAAATATGTGTTGATTTTCCTTAATAAACGATCTGTTGCCTGGCACTTGTCTTCTGTTGTTACACTACTACTGCTACTACTACTACTACTACTACTACTACTAATCGCTTGCGTCACACTACAGTTCACAATGAGAAGAAAGGTATTTAGCTAACGCGATTTCAACTACTTACAAATTATGAAGTACTCTATTTAAATTGTGATGACTTATGCATACGCTATGTTTAGCAATGTCGTTATGAACATCACACACTATGTTAAAAGGAAAGATCATCACTAATAAAAAATAACAAATTCACTAGTTAGCTTAAGCCAACTTACGCCATCTCTAGAGTGCTTAGTAGACGTGATATCCGGCTGGCTGATTGGCTAGCTGTCGACCGAAGGACGTGTGTACTGGTCACCAGTTCGCTCCGTCCTTCTTTTTGACTGGCTAGCTGGCTGTAAGACATGGCCATTGAAAGTGGAAGACATGAAAAGCCATGATGATAGCTAGCTAGCTGTCTTTCATCATATAGGTGTCTGCGTCCTATCCCTAATGCTGTTAGGTGGTGATAGGTGTAGCACACAGGCTTGTGAACAATATTGCGGTGAGGCATCAGTCGGTCGAGTGCTGCAAGATAAGGAAGGAGGAGGAGGAGGAGGGGAAACCAATCGATGACGTCCTGAGCTTACACCGATTGAGATGGCTAGGACATTTGTCACGCAAGCATGTCTGCCTAGCCATCGCCTTCCTCGACAATGGGCGGGGCAATGTTAGCCACTGACTGACATAATATGAAGCAGGTTGGAAAAAACAGCTAGTGGTGGTAGTGGTGGTGTTGGTCTAACCAGAAAATGGCTTCTTCATCAGTCAGTGAAACCCAGTAGTCATGTAGGCTGGAGACAATCAGTGATATGCCTGGCTCAAAATCAGTCTCGGTGATGTCTGGCACTGTTGCAGATGCAGCATTCAATCTTTCTGATGATTAATCATATCCAATAAGACTCTATTGTTGCTCCATATCACCGTTCTTTTTGCCTCACTCATGCTTCTGTTTTATTATCTCTCTCTATCTCTGTTTTGAATCTCTCTTTACTCTCGCCTGTTGCTTTGCGTGGTATATACAGGGGGTATGGCAACTCGAACTGAAGCATATCTGTGCAAAGTTTCACGTCGAAACCAGTCAGTCAGTCAGTGAATCAGTCAACCACTTATGGTTAGAAATGAAAGTAAGAAGGAACACCCGGTATTCTTATTATTGTAATTGTCTTCACTGGTATCCAAACCTATTTCGCTATTCAATATCAACCAAGATAAACAAATAAATTTTTAGTTCATTACACAATTTCCTTTTGTTTTATTAAACCAAATGTCATACAAATTAATAATATTTAAAAATTAAAAATAACAAAGAGAGTCACAGAGAGCGAGAGAGACAATAAA